ACGAAGCGTTTGAGAGAGGCGGGGCATAGAGGACCTACAATAATGTACAGTATTTGAAAAATAATCAGTTTTTTGAACATTAAAGCATGTCAACATATTCTGTTACACCAAATACACAAAATAATGATCTTTAAAAAAACATCATATGACCCCTTTAATGTAGCTCTGTGCCGTACTTTGGATTAATGTTGCATCTTTTATATCCGTTGTAGGATGTAACAACCACAAACACAAGCAATAAAAATACAGCAACAGCAGCAAGACCAATGAACGCATTCTGAAGACTCGACTCGGCAACGTCTGTGAGAAAAAGGGGGAAAAAAGTATTGCGAATTAAATTCTTTTATTGATTGACCTGAAAGTTATGTCATTGATGATAAGATGAATTGGTTCGCAGTGTACTGTATGTTAATGTAATTAATATAGGATTAAAGAGAGGCACCTACTGTATATCTTATCATGCTAACTCAGAAGTTCTCTTACGGGCAACACAGATATTATGTTTTATATTATAGACTAAATGGGACCAAATGCCAGCATGATGAATAAATATTTGCCAGTCAACAAACCACTTTTATTTTCTTGAATTTAGAAACAGTTGAAAAACTTTTATTTGGATCTACCTCCAGAATCACATGACTCTCCGTTGGATATCAGCATGTGTCGGGTGTTATCCAGTGACCCGTCATTGATTTCTGGCTTTATCCCCAGTAAGTGGCACATTAGAGGGTAAACATTAACGGTCTCAAATGGTCCAACCAACAAGTTTCTGTGGAAATCTGGTCCCACTGCCCTGAAGAAAGGCTTCATGTCCATGTCCTCATTGTCATAGCCGTGCTCCCCTTTATTGGTCTGAAGTGGGTAAAACTGGAAGAACATTTAGAACATATAGCATAATGTTTTCCATGCATTATTGTTTATTCTGTCCATTATAGGTGTTTACTGAATCCTCACCCCATTGATGACATATCCTGGGTCTGCGAAAAGAACGATGGGTAGGATACGTGGATGTTTGGAGTAATGCAGTCGAGCAGGCATGTCGTCTTTTTTATAAACGTGAAGGCTTGGATGACCTCCTTTCAAGGCTTGATAAACCTTGTCAAGCATCCCTTCTTTGGGCAAGAGCATCGCAGAAGGTCCATAGTCCAACAGGTGGAACTGCAGATCTTTGTAAGAGAACCCTGGAATGTCAGTGAGAACTATTTCTTTTACTTGCCCTCCTTTAAACACGGTGGCCATGCCATGGTCAGCTGTGATGATTATATTCAGATGGTCGCTGAGTCCGTGTTTCTCAGCAGTTTCCCGTATGTAGCCCACAGTTCGGTCAACTTTTTTGACTGCCTCACGGCGCTCAGAAGAATCGGGCCCATGCTTGTGGCCAGTTTCATCTGGGTCGCCAAAATACAAACTGATAAAGTCTAAGTCTTGATCTTTAAACCATTCCTTCATGACTTTATCCACATTTTCCCTCCATGCCGTCTCATTGGTGTAGTCATAGGCTCTTGGTTCTACCTCTCTCACCTGAATTGTTTCTTTCTGGTAAGAGGCCGCAGTGCCAGGGAAGTGTAAAGATCCTGTTTTAAGACCCTAAGAAAAGGCACATAAGATTTAGTGTACAGAAATCTCCAGAAAGATTATGGTGGTCTGCTATTGTAACTTGCTCTTAACATAGATTTCAAAGATGATAACTTAAAGGAGACATATTATGTCCCTTTTTACAATATGTAATATAAGTCTCTGGTGTCCCCAGAATGTGTCTGTGAAGTTTCAGCTCAAAATACTCCACAGATCATTTATTATATCATTTTGAAAATACCTATTTTGAGGCCATGTCCACACGTACACGGGTGTTTTTATTAACGGAGTTTTTCCTTCTTTCGTTTAAAAAAAATCTCCGTCCACATGAAAACGCAAACGCATGCTATGAAGTACTGTCAGGAGCATGCCAACCAACAGGTGGCGATATAACCTCAACCGTAAAGCCATGTTGGCCAATCAGAAGCCTTAAAGTCTCCAGTAGGCGGAGATAACAGCGCAGGCGCCGACATCACAAGCCAAAAACTCCAGTTTCGCTGTCTACACGATAACACTGCAACCAGAGTTTTTTTAAATCTTCACCCTGGCTTTTCCTTCTTCCGTTTTTAAAAAAATCTCCGTCCACATGAAAACGCAAACGCATGCTATGAAGCACTGTCAAGAGCATGCCAAACCCAACAGGTAGCGATATAATCTCAACTGTACAGTCATGTTGGCCTATCAGAAGCCTGAAAAGGTTTCCAGTAGGCGGAGATAACAGCGCAGGCGCCGACATCACAAGCCAAAAACTCCAGTTTCGCTGTCTACACGATAACACTGCAACCAGAGTTTTTGAAAATCTTCACCCTGGCAGGCGTTTTCAAAAATGTTTGGTTTCAGTGAACTGGTGCTGAGTTTGCGTGTGGACGAACGGCCTAACTGTGTAGAAAAAGCTGCGGTTTTAAAAATAACCGCGTTCATGTGGACAGGGCCTGAGTGGAAGCAGAAACACGCTGTTTTTCAAGTAGACGCCCCCATTTGGAGATCTCCGGGCTGCAGTTATACCCTTCTCCTGTTTTTCGGGCCTGTCTCTTTAAATGCAAATGAGTTGCTGGTCCCCGCCACCTTTTCCAGAATAGAGCTGCGCCATTACAGCTCGGACCTGCTAAAAACATCTGTTATGATTGTGATTATCATGTTTATCGCGCTGAAATCATGCGGTGATAAACATATGAGTTTAAACTTCTGATATTAGGTTTTCTGAGAGCACACATCCAAAGCACATGGACAGAATAAACAGCTGGGAAATAAATCGCATGTTTATTTTAGATCTAAATAGTGTTCTGTGCTGGTCTGTGCAGACAAAGGCACAACAGTTAGTATGTTTTGCTCAAACTTTCGCCATGGCATTAGAGCTAGTAAGTTACACCGTTGTCGCT